TCCTAAACTCTTCTTTATCCACTGACCAGGAAAAGATTTCCCTTAAATTTTGCTGTGTAGATGGGTATTTAAGCTGCGAAAAGTTGAGTGACCCTGGTTTACCAGTTGATATATAAAAGAGGAAGCGTTGAGAATTTTTATATTGCATACCTGATTGCTCTTTGAATTTTGGCGGGGAGGAGCCTTCCAAATCTTAAAGACCCTAATTCCCTCAGATTGATATAATTCCTATTTTCATAATACGGTTTTGCATAAAAGCACATCAAATACCCTGCAATCACTGTGATCAAAGTATTCTAGTAAAATTTCCTCTGCGGCTGGGCCACAATCATCATTTTCATTGCAATTCAGTGAGGAGTCACAGTTCTGACAGAGCCTCCAATGTGAGTTGAAAAGAACTGTCCAGAAATGGAAAGAGTCCTTGAGTGTACTCATAGGCTGAATTGTTAGTATTCATTTTTTAAACTAGGGAGAGTGAGCAACAACATTCCTATGATGAATAAGATAAATATTTCATTGAGAGCAGGTTTCATTTTATTGGTTAGAGAAATTGCTTACAAAGCAAAACACTTTCAGGAGAGGTGGGCCCAGTTTGCTTGGAGATGGCTTTTCTTGGAGGGGGTGGCCTGAGCATCAGGTGTGGAAGATCTAGCTGGCCAACCACATTTGATACTCAGTAGAGTTATCCTAGCCTTTTTGCCTCAGTTAGATATGGTGTGGATGTGTTGTAAATCAGCACAGCTCCACAGATTTCAGTTATTGAACTGTATCAGCTGAGGATCCAACTTATTCAGTTCCATGCCCTGTATGGGCCTTCTGAATTAAACCTGAAAAACCCAAATCCTGTTTCCTCTGGATGGATATTAAAATTCATTGTACTTATTTGTGACACTAGTGGCTTGTCTTGGTGACCTTGGCAATTGACTTATCATTGTTCTGCAAAGCCCTACAACTTCGCTAGCTGCTGCTTGCCAGTGTAGAAATGCTTCTTCAGCTTAAGAGGTGTTGTGAAAAGGTAGCACTACTATAGGATCCTGTTTTCCAAAAACTGAAAAGATTTAGTGGTCAGTTTTCCATTTGTACATTCCCCTGCTTCTCTTTTTGAAAGGCCTTTCCACTAGGGGAAAAGGAAAATAAAACTATTTTTCTCTATTTTCTCTTCCAGCACCAATTCTCACTAGAAAAAGGGAACAAAGGGGAACTGGGAGAGAAAAGATGGCCATCATCAAAAAACCAAAAGGCTAATTATTTTTTTTCAAAAGCTTAAATAATAATTTGAAATAAAACAAAGCAAAATTTTTGTTTTGTTTCATTTCAACTTTACCTGTTGGGGAAAAAATCACCAAATACATTTTTCCAGGTTAAGTTTTAATAGTCAGTAGGAATTATCTGTCTGATGCCATAAAATGACTATAAATGTGCAAAAGCACTTTTACATATGCTCAGGAGCACATTCCTTACCGTTCAAAATTTCATTTAACCATTTAAGCAGATGCAGCCATAAGTGTCTTTGGACTTCATAGTTTCATAGATTAAGGGTCGGAAGGGACC